TTCCGTCTAAATTCAGTGACTCAAGGAATTAACAGTGAAAGACAATTATCAGTATAATTAGACATTCAACAATTAAATTACCCAAGAGTGTAAATAGTTTTGACAAAGTGGTTCGATCGCACAAAATAAAGTGTGATTTTTTAAACCCGGCTCATCAATCATTTTCCCAACATCTCCTTCCACATTTTCATCCCACATCCACCCTAAATCTAGTCATTCACCAAATTAGCTTCGAGCCGGATAGTGGGTGAAAACGTGTGAAAAGTGTTATGGAAAAATCATAAGGACGCCTCGTGTCGAATAAACTTGCGGGGTTCGCACGGGCAACTCAACGGACAGGGTNCGGACAGGGTTCTAGAACATTCGCTTTGTTTACACCCGCAAGGGCGACGGGGTAACAAAGGACATACCAGTGAAATTCAGTGTCGAAATCGGGAGCATTCGTGAGTGTGGAGTGTCGCTGAAGCCCATCCACGTTTGACCCACGTGCGCCACGCAATAGGCGACTCACCGAACGTTCGGCAGTCAGTAACTCATCGGCTATCAGTAGCGTCTCAACAGCCGATAACTTACAATATCAACAACTNCAGAGAACATCATCGAGAACAGTCAGACAGGGTCGAAAATTTTGCAAGTCACACCTGATGAGGGACTGTCAACAATAAATGAGGCAGTTTAAAATAAGCCAATCACTACTCAGGAAGAATTCAACAATCCAAATGTTCGGCACATCAACGCAGCTATTCACCAGCAGATCATAAACGAACCAAGAATTATCAACTTTATCGAGGCTTACGCGAGAGGAGTCAACTCTGGCGCTAATTTCAACAGAAGTACATCATCAGCAGGGAGGGGAATCCAGGAACTACAGGATTGAGACAATCGACAACAATGAGCTCGGCGGCAACTGAGGGAATTTACGCCTTTCTCAGTCGATNTTGATGTAATAGGAAATGAGGGGTTCTCTCTCTAAAACTCATTAGGTTTCCCTCGACCGCGCGTTTGTCCTATCACCGTATGAAATGAGTGTGCTCCTATCAAATCCTCTTCTTTTCCATGCCTCATTATTTTTCTTCATCAATAGTCTTCAAAACAATTCTCAATTACTGCTCTGAACCCCTCAAATTACCCTTCATTTACACTCTCGGCCCGAGGACAACTCTAAGGGGTCCCCTCTCATATCCTATTCCGTCTTAGTTCTACCTGCTTCTGCGATACTTCACTCACCTTAATCGGAAATAAGGCGAAAACGGCAATAACGCCATTATTTCCGATTACCCTTTTTTTTTTTAATAAGATTTAAGGATGCATTTCCGCCAGGGCAGTTATCTGTTATCTGTCTCTTCATTTTTCGGAGATTTCGTCAGCTTTTTTAGTTCTGATTTTAGGAAATTGGGAGGGTTTTTTTTAGTATTTCATCTCCATGGATTTTCCTTTCCTGGGGGCTTTGGGCTTCTGATGCTTAGAGATTTCAGCAACGAAACACTCCGTCACTGTCTGCCTCTCTATAAATCCTTTCATGTTTTATCAGGGGTCCAGTGATTTTGTTTTTAAATGTCGTCAATTTTTCATTCAACGACTTACTCGTAATTTTCAGGAGATTGTTTAAGGATGTTCTACACCCTTTCTGCCAAAATTCACGTTTTTTTAATTTTTCTGGCAAACTTATGATGGAATTGACGTGAAAAAATATAACGTTTTTGCGTTTTGTCATTATTTAATGACTGACGAAATTTTAAGGTGGTGCGAACATTTTCCTGCGTTTTCTCTAAACTTTTAAAAAGAATCACAAAACTGTAGAAAAAACGCATGAAAATTATCGCACCACTACGCAACTTCGTGGGCCATTAAAGAATGACAAACCACAAAATTGTTATATTTTTTCACGTCACTCCCATCGATAATTTGCCAGAAAAATGAAAACAACGTCAATTTTGGCTAAAAGGGTGTCGAACATCCTTAAAGGTACGTGACAGGGGAACATTCTGGTTCGCGAGAGGGGCATAAACTCACTTTTTTTATATGTAAATGGGGTAAGTGATGGGAAGTGCAAGACTCGGTCACGTGACTCCTGAACAATAATAACCACCCCCAGGTACTTATCCGGAATAGGTCACTAATTAGAAAAACGACGTTATGTACTCGATTGTACATCGTTAGTACATGATTGTACAATGCAAATTTTTGTTTGTATATTCACTCATTAATTTAAAAAAATTAATCAAGTTTTGGCATGATGCTAGCCGGAAAAAAATGTACATTGCTTAATTGTGCAAAATTATGGGTCAATTCCGAAGGAAATCGTTTGTAAATTACGAATTGCATGTTTTTATTATTTGTACAATCATTGTTAATTAGTTAGGTTGAGGTGAACAATTATGATCAAACCCCACCCCCAGCAAAGCATTGATGGCTCCTGTACTATCGACTTTGGCGTTTTATTCTCTGTTTGCATGTGTGTTTACAATATCAGTTCATTTTTTCATGAAAAAAAAAATTAAATTGAACAAAATAAATGTTGACGAAGGATTAATCATCTTATTTGTACCTGTGCGGGAAATAGAAATACATATCTGCATTGTGATACGGGACATTGGCATAAGGGAAATCATTAGCCCCGAAGATTCTGACAGCTCGAAAGAGGTTGTGTTTGATGAAAGATTGTTAAAAGGAACATTCCTACAATAATCTTCGATCAGAAGCATTGACAATCACTGCAAACCCTGTGAGAAGGCTGTGTGTAACTGAGTGAGGTAAGCTTGCAAATGATGCTTGAGTAACTGAGTGAGGTAAGCTTGCAAATGATGCTTGCAATCTTACCTCACTCAGTTACACACAGCCTTCTCACAGGGTTTGCAGTGATTGTCAATGCTTTTGATCGAAGATTATTGCAGGAATGTTCCTTTTAACCATCTTTCATCAAACATAACCTCTTTGGAGCTGTCAGAATCTTCGGGACTAATGATTTCCCTTATGCAAATGTCCCGTATCCCAATGCAGATATGTATTTCTATTTCCCGCGCAGGTACAAATAAGATGATTAAGGGTGCGTTTCGGAATCAACTACTGTAGCTGCAGTAAAGCGAAATTAGATAGGGTTACAGTACTGCTACTGCTACTAAGTCGATTGCGAAACGCGCCCTAATCCTTCATCAACAATTATGTTGTTCAATTTAATGTTTTTTTTCATGAAAAAATGAACTAATATTATATAATTGTAAACACACATACAAACAGAGAATAAAACGCCAAAGTCGATAATACAGGAACCATCAATGCTTTGCTGGGGGTGGGGTTAGATCATAATTGTTCACCTCAACCTAACTAATTAACAATGATTGTACAAACAATAAAAACATGAAATTCGTAATGTACAAACGATTTCCTTCGGAATTGACCCATAATTTAGCACAATTAAGCAATGTACAGTTTTTTCCGGCTAGCATCAGGCCAAAATTTGATTAATTTTTTTAAATTAATGAGTGGATGTATAAACAAAAATTTGCATTGTACAATCATGTACTAACGATGTACAATCGAGTACATAAGGTCGTTTTTCTAATTAGTGACGTATTCCGGCTAAGTACCTGGGGGTAATAACTTCATTCCTTTTTTATTAATTTTCGACGCAATATTAATTTCCAAATGAAAAAAACATTCTCACTATTATTTCCAAATTGTTCTACATCGATTAAAGTGAAATTTTATTAATTTCGGTCAATGTTTGGCAAGTATACGGTCCAACAGTATTTTATTAATTACTGAATAACTATTTCTTTCCAAATTATGAAAAAGAGTTTCTAAATTTTTCCAAAATCATTTATATGCCAAGTATACGGTGGTAGGTTTGGCCGACCCCAGCGTGAGGCTAGTACGACCCCATGGCAGAGAGGGCACCGCGGTCGATTTCGGTGTCTGGTCGAGTTCGCTATTTCGGTAACTCGGCAGTAGCAGTCCCGCTGTCACTGGCTGTCGCAGGAATAGTTTAGAAGGGGAATTTATGCCCTCCTCGTCCTCAACATGTTCTTAATGTTTTTCAGGTGATTCATTTGCTGACTAATTAATATTAAGGAATGAAACACAGACGGTGTGATGGAGAATTAAATTCCCCATCAATCGATCTCCGTTGCATCCCTTAATCTCTGTAACAAAAAAATACAAACTACGACAAAAGTCATGGGCCAGTGAGAAAAATAATTTTCTTTTCAGCGCACAGTGAATTCAAAATTTGTCTCTTCCCTCCTAATTGAAATTAAGGAATGAAAAAAAGCCTGTTTGACGGAGAACTAAATTACCCATCAATTAACCCTCTTTCATCCCTTAATCTCCGTAAAAAATGGACGACAATGTCATGAAAATCACAGCGCAGTAAGAAAAATCATTGTTTTGCGGCGCGCAGTGACTCCCGGTAATTAAATTTCATTCCCGGTAATTAAGTTTCATTCCTTAATATTAATTAGCCAGCAAATGAATCACCTTAAAAACATTAAAAATAAGTTGAGGACGAGGAGGGCATAAATTCCCCTCCTAAACTATCGCTGTGACAGCCAGTGACAGCGGGACGGCTACTGTCGAGTTACCGAAATAGCGAACTCGATCAGACACCGAAATCGACCGCGGTGCCCTCTCTGCCATGGGGTCGTACTAGCCTGACGCTGGGGTCGGCCAAGCCCCGGATCTGAGTCACTACCATGAAGAATAGAGACCAGGAGGCCGAACTAGCGTTTTCCGATCCGAGACCATACTCGGGGTAATGAAGTGTTATAGGTGGTGCTTCAATCGCTTTTCTGAATGGCAGTAGTGGGGGAATGCTGCCTGTGTAGTGTGTAGGTGTATGAAAATAACGTACTGAATAATTCCTGGCCTTTAAATGTTTATCCATTTTTATACGAACTACTTTGTTGAGTGATTGAATATCGCAAAAATTGATTACATGTAGGCAATGACTTCCACGAAAGGAGTAAGCATTTTCTGTACAACTCAACTATAAAAANTACTGAATAATTCCTGGCCTTTAAATGTTTATCCATTTTTATACGAACTACTTTGTTGAGTGATTGAATATCGCAAAAAATTGATTACATGTAGGCAATGACTTCCACGGAAGGGGTAAGCATTTTCTGTACAAGTCAACTATAAAAACTGAGATGTCTGACGTCTTCTAGGTTAGTGTTGATTATCGTAAATAAAATGTTGAATGCTCATAAGTTGAAAAGAATGTAATCATGATATTTATCTGTTATTTCCTTAGTTGGATTCTGGAGAGTCCACTAGAATGTCAGTCAGTGATATCAGCCAGTCAGTCTAATGATATCAATCAAAAAGAGATCCATCATAACCAGGAGCATAATTGAATCGTCATTAATCGCCTAGGATTTCGGGTGATTTCTACAATTGTACATAAAATTTTTTATGAATGATAAATTAATTGCAAATAGTGAATTTGATGATTAATTGTATATAATATCTGAGATTTAATTGTATATTAAAATTTTGCAAACCATTATATGTTGAGGATTTTTGTCCAACAACGAAGTCATACCATGGCTAACATGTGACAGAATAAAATCTCTTGACCATCTGGCAACGGTCATAGAATTACTGAATAAGTTGCTTTTTTTATGAATCATTTTTTGTTCCGTAATTGTATAATTTGTGACATGCAATGTGTGTAATAAAAAAAACATGAAAACCGAAAATTCTGTTAATGGTCATTTCTTTAATGATAACAATATAATATTATTATGATACTATCATAACCTTTGGTGTTATTTGATAATAAAAACAAGAGACCATATGCCTTATTCCGAACTTTTTCTGCATTTGGACCGGTCTTGCAGTTCGGAAATGAACACACCGTTCTCATTTTTACTCCTGCATATTAATTATGTTTCCGAAAAATTATTTTGAATTTCAAACAACATTTAATAACAAATAAAATTCAGAGATAAACTTTTCTACTAACACAATTGTGCGGAGAACGATATATGTGAATCCCGAGTAACGGAGATGAAGCGCCCTCTTTCACTGCGACGCAACTATTTCAAGGAACCATGTTTGGTCGCGTATTCTGAGGAATCGGTCATTACAGTTCGGCCTCCTGGTCTCTCTTCTTCATGGCCACTACTTTAGTCCTCTTTGTTCCCTCTATTCGTCATGAGCAGGGCCAATGTAATGTTTTCAACAGCAAAATTCGTAGCGGTGGCGCATGGACTGCGATGGAGCGTACGGAACTGTTGGTATGGTATGCAGAGATTATAAGGGAGATTGCTAGCGCCTATGGAAACGCTTCAACCACAAAATTTCGTAGCGAGTACGTACCTGTAAGTAAAACAGGGAGCGTGTGAGAGCGTCGATAACGGCGCAGAGTGGGGGGAAAGGCGTATGGGGGAATCGGCGGGCGGAGCGAGCGGTGATGTTCGCTGTCGAGTAGGTGAGGAAAACCTACCGCAGTTCGAAACGCCGACGGGCGGCGGAATCCTGCCCTTAATATAACAATCAATTTCTCCTTCCCTAATGAGGACGAAGGGATGAAACGGTTGCCAATCGATTGAAAATTGAATCCTCAACTGATTGCGATCTGTTTTATCCCTTCATCTGAATTAGAGGGGGAGAAACGAATATTTATGGATCGAGTGAGTCCCCAAACGGCTCTCGCCATTGAAAAATCCATTTCTCCTCCCCCAGCAGAGATTAAGGGATGAAACTGGTGACAATCGATTGAGAATTGGATCCTCAACCGATTGC